GCCGGAGTACCACTGCCTCCCGCTCCCCCCGCCCCTCCCCTCCTCTGCCTCCTCCTGCCCTACCCCGCACGAGTCGAGGCCGCCTCATCTCGCTGGCACAAGCTCTGGTCCCTATCTTTCCATCCACCACCACCTCACCGCAATCATCCCACCCTCCCCCGCCATCACATCCTTCCCTCACAATGTCTGCACAGAAGCAGGGCGCGCCCGCACCCCAGCGCAAGGAGTACACGCGCGAGGAGGTCGCCAAGCACAACAAGCAGGGCGACCTCTGGATCGTCATCGACGCCGAGGTCTACAACGTCTCCAAGTTTTCCGAGCTCCACCCGGGTGGTGAGAACGTCTTCCACGACGAAGAGGTCGCCGGTCAGGACGCCACCGAGACCTTCTTCGGCCTCCACCGCCGCGAGGTCCTCTCCAAGCCCCAGTACCAGCGCCTCATCATCGGCACCATCAAGGGCGAGCAGTCCAAGCTCAAGCCAGACCCGCTCGGCAGCCCTTCCCGCGTCCCCTACGGAGAGCCCACCTGGCTCACCCCCGCCTACCACTCGCCCTACTTTAACGACTCGCACCGCCACCTCCAGCGGGAGTGGCGCAAGTACGTCGACGAGCACATTGTCGAGGTGGCGCAGCGCTGCGAGGACTCGGGCAAGCGTCCCGACGTCGAGCTCGTCAAGATGCTCGGCAAGAACGGCATCAACGCCATGCGCATGGGCCCCGGCAAGCACCTCCACGGACGCACCCTCTTTGCCGGCATCAAGGGCGAGGAATTCGACTACTTCCACGAACTCATCCTCACCCAGGAGCTCGTCCGCTGCGGCCAGCGTGGCTTCGGCGACGCCCTCAACGGCGGCATGGTCATCGGCCTGCCCCCCGTGATGAACTTTGGCTCCGACGAGCTCAAGAAGGAGATTGTCGAGCCCGTCCTCGCCGGCGACAAGTTTATCTGCCTCGCCATCTCCGAGGCCTTTGCCGGCTCCGACGTCATGGGCCTTCGCACCACCGCCACCCTCACCGACGACGNGCCGGCGACAAGTTTATCTGCCTCGCCATCTCCGAGGCCTTTGCCGGCTCCGACGTCATGGGCCTTCGCACCACCGCCACCCTCACCGACGACGGCGAGCACTACATTGTCAACGGCACCAAAAAGTGGATCACCAACGGCACCTTCGCCGACTACTTTTCCACCGCCGTCAAGACCGACCAGGGCTTCGCCATGATCTGCATCCCGCGCACCGCCGGCAACGTCGAGACCAAGCAGATCAAGACCTCCTACTCCACCACCGCCGGCACCGCCTACGTCACGTTTGACAATGTCAAGGTGCCCAAAAAGTACCTCATCGGCGAGGACGGCATGGGCATCTACTACATCCTCTCCAACTTCAACCACGAGCGCTGGGTCATGTGCTGCTCCACCATCCGCGCCGCACGCGCCGTTTGCGAGGAGTGCATGCTCTGGATCCACCAGCGCAAGGTGTTTGGCAAGCCGCTCACCTCGCAGCCCGTCATCCGCCAGAAGCTGGCGCAGATGATCTCGCTCGTCGAGGCCGCACAGAACTGGCTCGAAAACGTGACCTACCAGATGTGCAAGATGTCCTACGCCCAGCAGTCCAAGTTCCTCGCCGGCCAGGTCGGCCTGCTCAAGTCGTGGTCCACGCGCGTCTCGCACGAGGTCGCCGACGGCGCCGTCCAGATCTTTGGCGGCCGCGGCCTCACAAAGACGGGTATGGGCAAGTTTGTCGAGATGTTCCACCGCACCTACAAGTTTGACGCCGTCCTCGGTGGCTCCGAGGAGGTGCTCGCCGATCTTGGCATCCGACAGGCGCTCAGGATGATGCCCGAGAACGCGCGCCTCTAAAGGCGATCGGTCTCCTCTCATGCATCGTCTCAACGCGCCGTTTTTGTCACTTGAGCAAGTGTCATGATTTCCACAGCATCGATTTCGCGCGTGACAAGAGTGAAAGCAAGATGAGATTGAGGTGGGGGATGCGGGGATCAGCGCGACGACTTTGCCTTTTTGAGCGACTTTTCCATGCGTTTCTGGTCCTCGGGATTGTCCAACGAGAGCATGGCGTCTGCATCTGCGTTGGCGTCAGCCTCGGCCGCCGAGGCATTCTTGTTGTTGTTGGAGGGGGGCGAGACCTTGAGTTTGCAGAGGAAGAAGCCGTCGAGGTTGTGGACGTGCGGGAAGATGCGGCGAGCCAGAGGCATGCGGTCGTCAAACTTGCTGCGGCCAAACGCCTTGAATCCGTCGCGACCGAACTTGATGCCGGTATCGACGATCTTTACGTTGGCACGCTTGCGCAGGGCGTACTGAACCACCTCCTCGTTCTCCTCCACCATGACCGAGCAGGTCGAGTACACCACGTACCCGCCCGTGCTCGAGCGAGGGTTGACACTGTCAATCGCACACAGCAGCAGCTGCTTCTGCAAGTGCGTCAGCAGCGCAAAGTCGCGCTCCGACTTGTTCACCTTGACCGACTGGTCCTTGTGAATCACACCGGTGCCCGAACACGGCGAATCCAACAAGACCCTATCAAACCCGCCAATCACCTTGGGAAACTGGCGTCCGTCGTAGTTGCACACCACCACATTCTTGCAACCCAGACGGTGGATGTTGGCGACGAGCGACTTGATGCGGTTCTTGTTCGAGTCGTTGGCAAACACCGTGCCCGTGTTCTGCATGAGTGCCGAGAGGTAGGTCGACTTGCCACCGGGTGCCGAGGCCATGTCGAGCACGCGCTCGTTGGGCTGCGGCGCAAGCGCAATGCAAGGCAGGAAACTCGATGCGGCCTGAAGCATGTAGTGCCCCGCGAGGTACTCGGGCGTCGCACCAATGGGCACGCTCGACTCAAACACCTGCAGACCCACTTTGCTCCATGCGCCGATGGGCTCCAGGTTGACGCCGCGGTTGATGAGCGCCTGTGCCAGATCGCGTCGGCGCGTGCGCAGCGTGTTGGCTCGGATGGTTACCGGACGCGGCGTCTCGTTGGCCTCGAAAAACTCGATCGCCTCGGCGGGCGTAAAGAGCTCAAACAGCTTCTCGGCAAGGAAGGCGTTGTAGCCGTAGTACGTGCAGATGTCCGACAGCAGCTGCTCGACGTACTCGGAGCGCGATCGCCCGTCCACCGCCAGCTTCTTGAAGTTGGACAGCACCGTCACGATCTCCTGGATGCGCATGTGCACCAGCTGCAGGTCCGCTCCGCGCATCTTTTCCGCCTCGCGCTCCTCAAGCGTAGGCAGCATGAATTCGGCGCCCTCGTCTGCCTCTTCGTCGTCCTCGTCCTCGTCCTCGTCC